ATCATTAGGTGATGCCATTACGATGATGTCACCCCAATGATTTCATATGTTTGGAAAGTCCTAGTCTCCAAGGAAGCTAGATCTTTACTTCTCTTAATAATTTTACATATATGAATGATGGCTCACCTGGATACAGAAACGAACTGTGTATATTCCTTCCTCATTGTATTCAGGTGTAATTATAACTTCCGATATTTGTGAAACCTCAGTTAAAACAGCAACTGCACTCAGAAACCAACAATCACCCAGTCGTCCCTGAAATGTTTTAGTGGCAACATTAATATGGTAATATACACACACAAACACACAAGTGATTTGTCTCCATGGAAAGGAAATTGTAGGGGAAAGTCCAAAGAAAGAGTTTGGAAATAGATAAGATCACAAGTTTTATATAGCAATACAGCATAATTAGTTTATTTTGTTGGCAAAACCTGGCAAACATCTGAAGAATTTGCTGCTCCAGAAAACAGGCACGGACCAGAAAAGAGCTGATTCTCTTCAACTATTTCAATGGGCCTCATCCATGCAGCAACAACCTTCAAACAAAATTTATTGTGAGTTCTGCCAAAGTAGGTTTGTACGGATATGCCATGCTCCAGAAAATGGAAATCATGCCCCAAAAAATCCATTCCAAACTGTTGCCAGTGCAACTCACCTGCAGTTTTGAAGGAGGGTTATCTGGATCAACAAATAATGAGCGGTCACCAGGGGGGGAATTCTTGATCTGTGAATTGGGATTCTCCTCTTGCCAATAGAGCCTCCTTCACAGCCATTTCAACTGAGCGCATGCGTTGATTCATTTCTTCCTGGGTCTCCAATGATGGTTTCCTCAACCTTCTCGTAAACGAATCAACATCCAATACAACACCATCCCGTTCAGATCTCATTCTCCTCCCACTTGAATACTGTCCGTCTCAATCCACATCATCTCTGTCATAAAGGTCAACATCTGCAGGGTCGCTCTCCCAGTCATCGACCTAAATGAGAGAACATAAGAGATCCAAATAGATCAATGACAAACAGAAATGAATGTGTAGGCGTTTTATTTGCAAAAATTGAAAAATGGGCATGTGGAAGAAATTGCACTACGCAATATACAATTTTCGGACAAAGAACACTGACCCTAGTTGGAGAATCTGTCCATTGAAAATTATCGTCTAATAGATTGATCATATTATACTCTGCGGTAACAATTGCACCAGGAAGAGTGGCAATCTCATCTTCAGTTAAGCACCTTCCCCAAAGAAATACATCCATTATCTGCATCTTGGATCAGCTGCTTCACTATCCGACCTCCCAAATGCGTCAAGATCAATAGGTGGTCGTATACCCACCCAGACCTCTGTTCCTTGCTCCCATACGCAACTACCATTATGCAGTGGTAGCCCTGTCTGATAGCCATCAAAATTACCATCTAGATAGCAAGATACTTCACCTAAATCAGCATCTACAGGCAATGTAACTATATGCCACCTGCAAAGTAATTTATTTTCGGATCAGGAAATTAAGAATTCAACTTCTAGCCAAGATAAGAGTACAGGAGCAATCCAACACACCGATATATACATAAAAAACTTGAGAGATTTGGTGTTACCAGCAGCAAGCTATAAGTACTGACATGGCGTTCAAGAAACCCTACAAGTAAAAGAAAACACACCTTCCATCAGCAATGTTGCTCGCACCTACACTCCACTCCTTTGAGACTGTAGTTTGTCTATCGCCCTTGGTAATTAATCTAAGTCCAACTTGTCCAGCTTCAATGCCTTCCTCAGACCCAGCAACAAGAAACTCCCAGCATATCTTCTTCTGCAATTCAGAACCCAAGAGACAAACTGGTCCCGACTCCAGCTGCACCATGACAGCAATAGAAACGCTAACTCTATTACTACAACAAACACTGAGATCCACGGGTCCACAATGTCTGCCGCTGCTAGTAGGCTCATCATCAAGAATACATACAGCGCCACTAAGTCCAGTATGCAACAAAAATGAAAATAAGAAGATAAATTTAACATATCAAATCAATATGCAGAAGAGAGCATGCCAAGAACTAAAGATGTGGCTTCATAAATATGGGACTGGAACATGTAACGAACATGTGGCTCACGAAATTTCTCCATGATCTAAAAAAATTCCAATCATATACCTTAAACCTTTCAACATTTTTCTTAAACACCATGAAAGTTAAATTAGTTAATGTTTTTTGGGACAGAGGGGGTATTACCATTGTTATCACATCGTCAAATTAATATGCACTAAGGGCAGAACAGGGCCATGAGACTGACATATTTTGATATTTGGTAACGATCGTTAGTGTCATACATGGAGACGTTTATTGATTAGAAACAAACAAAATGCAAAAACCAGTGTCCCTTGTGCCAACCCAACACATTAACTATAAAGTTTTTAACAAAGACGCATAGAAAGATGAGAAACTAAAGTGCATAAAGAGAGACAGAGCGACGGAGCATAGCAAAGCCTAGTTTTGCCATTGTTGACCCTCCACAGCTGCCAGACATAACCACCATTGTGAGACATCGCCACAACTACGGCCATACACCACTACAAATGTTTAGAAGTATATTTTCTTTCTTTCCTTTTTTTAACTCTGTTTTACTTCTTTCCTTTTCCTATTCTACTGCATATTTAATATTTTTTCAAGTTGCTAATGCATATTCAAGTTTTGATAGTTGCTGCCGCATGTTTGGCATTTTTCCGCCAACTGTGTTTCCTTTGCCTTCTTTTACTGCCAGCTGCCTTTTCTTTCAGTTTTCTTTAACATTGCATATTTAATATTTTGCTCGCTGCCAGTTGCTAGTTTTAATGCTAATATATTATTTTAGTTTTCTTCTCCTGCCTATTTTATATTTCTCTGCCACTCAATAGTCGCTACTGCCATTTCATTTGTATCATGTTACTGTTCTTAGCACTGAGATCAGGCAATCCTATGCTGTTGAGGAAGAGTCTTAAACGAACCTAATCCTGTAAAAGAAGGAGGTTAGCATGAAAAAGACTTCATGTGCTGTGTGATAGAATGTTTAAGCATTCATACCTGTACACGTTCAGCTTTAGCCGTCAAACAAAGTAAAAGAAGTAAATAACCACCAAACTTATCCCACATGTAAACCCATTCAGTGTCAATTGCTTCTTCCAGAGCTAGTATTCTGGCATGAGCACACATTTCTCTTTTGTGACCTATATCAGTTATAGCTTCGTGCCGCAGGGTCTTATTTCTCAACCTAGACATAAGAGATCCAGCAGCCAATTCTTCATTTCTCAAACGATCTCTTAATTTCATGACATCAGCCCTAGGAAGTAGAAAATAGCCTCCTTTATCTCGAATTACAGCAGGATCCCCAACCAAAAAGCAGCTGAGCTGGCAGACCTCTGGGGAGCAGAGTAAGTTCCAGATAAAGCGTTTCTGGTCTGAATATGAAACATGGTTTTAGGTTAGGAACAGGCAGTAAATTTAAAAGATATCCCTATTTAAAAATCTGACACAATTTTATTTAGGGGTGTGCATTGGTGCAAGACCAGACCGGGACCAGACCGAAACTCCCAGAGACCGACGACCGGACTGAAAACCTTGACCAGACTTGACCGTACTGAAAACCTTGGCACCAGACTGGACCGGACCGGCTTTTTAAGTCCATACCTAAGACTGAACCTACTGACACAATAGAATATTATGATCAAGAAATCAAGAGAAATTGCTAATAAAGCAAATACCATGATTGCAAATACCTCGAGAGTCAAACAAGGGCGAGAGACAGCAAATCCAAAAGCTACGACAAGGGTAATTGCTGAAACAGCTGCTCCAGCGAAAGGGGGATAGATTTTCAAACTTGCAACTACACCCCATCCTTCAATAGCTAATGCAATGCCATAAAGCAAAGGAAATGCACCACTGAGGATAGAAAGTAGAAGAATTTGTCAAGTACTTAAATATTCCAAGGAAAAATGATGATAAGAACATGAATTTTTGGATAACATGATAAAAATCATTAAAAAATGAGAGAACTCCAACACTTCAGCATACAGAGAAGAGTTCAACACAACCTGATGTTTTTCCCACAATCTGCATGTGCATCGTACACATACACAGGTAACACCCTTGGGGAATAGACTACTATCGAAGGTGAAAGGAGCACCTAGAGAAGACAATAATTACTGAGTTATTAAAGAAAGAAAACATGTCAAGAAGAAATAGGAAGAACATCTCACTGTGGGAGATGGCCAACATAACAAGCCATTCCCAGCCCTATATTCCATACAAGCATGCCCCTATATTCCAGTCTGATAAGAATATCCAAAATGATAGTAAGATACAAAAGTATTACGGAGTAAATGGTTATAAAAATCTCTTATCTAACTTAGAACTTTCAGGAAAATAAATGGAACATGAAGACAAAGCATACCAAGTATAATAATGGCAGTTGATGTTATAGTCGCAACTCGCAAGCCAGTGTGATTCCTTCACAGTCAAGCCATACAAGATAGAATATGCAAGTAGTACTAAAACTGAGCCAAGGTACAGAAGCCCGAGATGCAAAGCCCTGCAAACCTGCTTGCATGAGAAATTACTTTTGATAGCATGCTTCCAAGTTTAGACGTTATAGTATTTATAAAGACTTCTTCAGAAGTTAAAAGAAAACTCCCGCATCAGATTTATATTAGGTCTGCTAAAAGATAGCTAGCAGAACTGATTCATAAACATTAATGTGTGAGTCATATGTATGCATATATCCTACACCTACAACAAGCCATAATCTATACACACATTGGGTAACTAGAATAAAGTATATACATGATTGTAACAATATAACATCAAGCTTGACGTTAAATAACAGCTTTACAGAGAGACTGCACAACCCAAAATCACATAATAAATATATTACTGTTTAGATAAACAGATCTAGAGCTTGCCTTCTCGTTTGTCGAGGATATAACTCATTAGGTTCAGGGGGTTCTTGTAAACAAGCAACTGGACCCACTTCAATACAGTCTGAATACGCAAATTTGTATGCCCTCCGCACATATTCATCAACATCTAAGCCATTACCTGATGTGAATGGTAACAATAATTGCTCAACTAATAGTTTAGAAGCTAAATAGGAGAAGAAATTACACATGTTGAAAAACAGCAGCATACTCATGGGAAAATTTATGTTTTGAACTGTACTCTAAGAAATGATAAAAGAAAATACAAGTCAGAAGGTTCACTAAAAAGGAGACACAAAAGCCAGGA